GGCCAGCACCACCCGCACGCTTGGGCTTGGGGGCGCCGGGCAGGGGCTTGGGCTTGGGCAGGAAGCGGTCGACGGACAGGGTCTTTTCGGGGGCGATGAAGAACTTGTCGCCCTCCTTGAACGAGGTGGCCTGGATGCCCTCCGAGGGCTTGATGGTGAAGAAGACCTGGTTAATGGGGCCGAGGACCTCGTCGACCTTGCCAATGGCCGTCTTGTTCTCGAGGAAGATTTGCGCGTTGAAGTGCGGCACGGGCGCCTTGGGGTTGCTGGACTCGCAAACCATTTCGCCCTCGCAGGCGTGAATAAACTTGCCCATTTCTGCCGTCAAGTTAGTATGGTGCACTTTGCGGCATCAACACCAGGACTGCGTAGAGTCGTTCTGGGACGGTTGCCGTTGGGGGGAAGGGTCGTTCGTACCTTGGACAGTGGCAGGCGGGCCAAAGTCACGCTGGGTGTAAGTACCACGGCCTATTGTCAAGTGGTTAGTGAGCGCTCGAGGGAGAAAGTGGTCGGGCTTGGTGTCAAAGGGCCTCTCTTCTGCAATTGGGTCTTCTGCCGCGTCGTGGCGTGGCCCAGTGTCTGTCTGGTGCATCAAGTCCGCATTGCGCGCTGCTAGTCACCTCCCAGCATCGACTGGCCAATCCCACACGACAGCTTCAGACACAAAATGTACATTGCAGTAGCGAGCGACCTCAGAAAGAACACCAACCCCGTCCTCGATGCAAGGACGTACCACCACCGCCGCGGCCACCACGGGAGCCGCCTCGGAAAGACATGATGTTCGATGCGTCGACCGTCGACTGTTTTCGATTCGGTTGGGAGAGGGAACTGTTGTTTCGCGGGAAATCCGAATATTCCCCAAAGAAACTCGACGTTCTTTCGTCCACGAATGCCGGGTATTTTTTACGGGTGAAGAACGGGCTTCAGTGTGGAGGTTGAAAACAGGAAAGAGGACCGCTTGGCTTGAAGTCGTCTCCAGCAACTTTTTTTTGTGTGAAAATTTCCTGGCGTCTGCTGCAGAGGTGGAAGGCTACTTTTTTTTTGGTGTGTGCAGGCTATGATTGGCTGAAACGGAATTACCATTCGGCCGCCGGGAGACCCACTCCCTTTGGTCTCATGTCAGACATGCAAAGTACTTTCTGCTCAAAATCCCATGGCATTTCATAGCGCTTCTAACTCTCGAGGCGTGACTGGGCCATCACACCATTCTCACGGACTGACTCGAAAGTCTAATGAGCCGTTGTCATTGAGCAAGTCTCTTAGAATGGTAACGTCTTCAATTAGAACTGCCAATTCAACACTGCCCAAGTGAAAAAGATGTTAGTCTTGCCAGGGAGGAAGAGTCCATTATGCAAAAAGATTCTGCGAGAAGAAGCGCAAAACAGATGGGGCAAGGCGCACCAGTCGAACTCGACATTGGATCTCGCACCCGGCTGCACCCTCATTCACACGGCCTATTTGCGGCCAAGGCATCTTACAGCCCCGACGGGAGAAAAACAGTCATCCAGTCGGGCGGCCGTATCCGCGTCGCCGAGACCCAAGCGCTTGCTTACCGCACGCCTGGTGGTTGGTTCCGCGCCTGCACGACATGACTGTGGAACAAGTGGCCAGACACTTAGCAGAGCGGCAACCCGCTGGACACGCTGCGGCCGTCCCTTGTCAAGCGATGAGAAGACGAGTGTGGCTGGCTAGACATGGCGAGCCATGACGGCCGCCGCCGAACCATGTGGGCTTCCTGCGCCGCCCAACGAGCATATCCGCGATAGTCCGACCTTGTCAGACGTACTACCGGCGCAAGTGCGCGCCAACGAAGAGGCGGTGAAAGATTGCTTGCTCGGGGCGTGCCGGCCGTGTCCAAGGACCGGTTTGTACCGACCAATTTACGCACGGCCACTTAGCGCGAGAACAATCATGGTTAAGAATGGTTAAATTACTGCACTCATTGAACTGGGAAGACGGCAGGTCGTACATCAGTACTGAGAGTATGTAAAGTATCTTCAAGCGTGATCTTCAAGCGTGGGTCAGGGCTCGACGATAACTTGGCCTCGTTACGCCAGGAAAGTATTTCCGCAGTTGCTCCCTGGAGCTCATCTTGACACGGCGCTGTCTCGATGCAATGCTCCTTGACAATCAGGAACAGTGGACAAGACGTAACGGTGTTCACTTGTATTTCAAACTGCCGACACAGAATGCGCAGAGAATTGGAAAGCTGTAACCTTCTAAGCACTAACTAGCAACACAGGCAGATACACAATCTGCCCCTATGCCCTCCCAACACAACAATCTCTGCGTACAGCCCCCAAAAAGATGCTTCCCACCGAACCCAAGCGTTTTCTCCTCCCTGGCTCCCGCGGCATATACTATACATGAAAGCAGAGACTATGGAAGATTTGCATCTGGCATAGACAAACAGATAGGAAATATTGAGTAGACAAAACTCGTCTGAAAGAAGGAAGCTGCCAAAGGAATTCAAGGTGTGTGGGTGTAAAATAAGGGGAAAAGCAAGAAAAAGAAAGTAGAGCGTCATCAGTCAAAGAGTGTCAAGGCCGTAAATGTCAAATCTCATGCCGTAGCATTGGTCGCGTTTCCATCCGTGGTGGAACTTCCCTTGGGGAATCGGCCGGGAATGTGGAGGTTGGAAATCGTCACAATGCTGTCGGTTCGGTGGTCTTGGGGCCTGATCGGGGCCTTTGGGAGATCCTTGCCAGGCGGTGTTTCGGAAGACGTGATATGGGCGGTCGCCTCGGCCTCGGGAACCGCCTGCAGAGCCTTATTCTGAATGGCCGCTGGGGTCTCCGACCGGGGAACGGCCTCGGTGTCGATAATGGCTGCCGTAGCCGCGGTCGCCGAGATGCTCTTGACCTCTTTGTCGCTGACGCCCGTCGCGTTATAAGTTTTGGTATTAATGGCTTCGTGGGAATTGGCTGCCACGGCAGCTTCGGGAATCATGCTGTGCGGCTCCTGGCCGTCACCGTTGACTCGGGTATCTGCAACTACAACTGGGACCACGCCATGTCCCGCACCTAGGTTACCGCCCTCCACCTCTCCGTGCTGCACCGGCTCGCTGGTATACGGGTTGACACCGTCATACTGCGCCTGCTGGTGAGCGATGGCCGCCTGGGACGACACTTCATCCATCGGGGTGTAGCCGGACCCGCCGCCGTATCCATAGCTGTCTTGGTAGGCGCCGTCATGAGATTGGTGAGATCCCGGCAGGGTGCCCGCCGCGGCAACCATATGGGCATCCGATGGATGTTCCGGGGCATCAGAGCTTAGGCTAGAGGGCGATTGAGGCGCGTGTAAGCCGCGCTGCGTCATGACTTGAAGATCGGATGGAAACCGCCCACCTGGTTCGGGTCGCCTAGGAGCCGCGTCGGCGCGCGCGGTGGGGTTGGTGTCGACTTCGCCACCGGTAAAGGGTTCCTCGTCCTCGTCATCGAGCCCGTCGCTACTGGCGGATCTTGCTGAGCGGCGTGAGGAGCGGCTGAGGCTTCTGGAGTGGGTACGGACGAATTGATGGCGTTCTTCGGGCGTCTTTTCGGTCAAGGCCTTGATGTCCTCATACCAGGCCAGCATGGTGTCGTGGCTTTCGGCGCGAAAGACCCAGGTGTGGCCGCGGTGCAAAGTGCCGGTCTGGCGGCCTTTGAGGATAAACTTGGAGGAGGAGCTTCCGTCTTCTGAGTGGGAGCCAACTTTCTGTTCAGGTAGGTAGAGTGACATGACGGGTGCTTGGTTCTTGTCTGCCGACTTGAATTCATGAAGGTGAGTAGAAGAAAGAACATACCTACATGGCATTAGTACATGGCGCACGCGTGCGTTGGGTCAAGGTACTCACCAGCCAGCTGTGTAGCTCTTGAGGTACTTGCTCTTGCGCTCCAGCAGCCCAGCACGGATCTCCTGGGCCGACAAGTGATCTTGGCCAGGGTAGTGGATTTGGTCGGGGGCACGCAGAGGCATGGTAGGATCAACGACTTGATCTTCGTGTGTGACAAAGTGAATCCATTCCTGGTCTTTTGGCATGGCGATGGGGCCTTCACGCAGCTCACCGACAACGTTCAAGGCGTTGTCGGCCTCTCGCTTGAGAATGCCTGCATAGGCATTGTACGCTTTTTGGATCTCGCCAATAACGATGGACTCGAGCTCTCTGCCAGAACCCTCAAGGTTGAGGTAGGCCTTGTAAAGAATCAGAGGTGTGCGTACTGATAAGAGGAAAAAATTGGACGTACCTGGTGCAAATAGTTTTCCTCGTCGATCTGGCGCTCAACCTGGCGGTCGACGGCAAGGCGGAGAAGGAAGGGGTCCTGCTTGCCCGTGGTTGAAGAAGCGTCGACGTCACTCTTATCGAGGACATCGGCCAAGGAGCTGACGGCCTTTGAGGTGGCGTTCATCTCCTTTTCTACCCCATTTTTGAAGTCGCCAGAAAGCTGCTTGATTTCCTTGATCTTTTGCTGCAGATCGCTTCGCAGGCCGGTGAGGGCGAGGATAACGTCTTCTTCAATCTCCTTGGCCTTTTGGGCTTCCTGGACGGCAGTCTTGTTGTACGAGCGCAGAAGCTGCAGCGCGTCATCGATGCCGGCGGACTTGAGGAAGCTCTCCGGAGTAGGCACGTTGTTGACAGCATTGTTGAGCTTAGTCAAGGACTTGGCGCGCTGCTCATAGTGGCTTTGAATTTCGCGAAAATAGGCAATCAAGTCCTTGAGAAACTTTCTCCAGGCTGTGAGAGAGACGTATTAGCGAGGCTTGTCCAATTGAGCGGTTGCGACAGCTTTAAAGGCTAGACAGGCGCGTGTCGCACAGGCGCCACGGTTAGGGATGGTGCGGCGCATTGCACCAGACAGGGCTCGACTTACTCTGAAATCTCTCGGCAAGAGTGTTGGTGGGATTGCCCGAGGTCGGGACGGGGCAGTAAAAGGCGCTGTGGCCCTCGTCGCGGTCGGAGGAGGAATGGAGAGCCAAGCTGCGGACGCTGCCAGCTCTGTTGCTGCGACGACTGGCGCTACGACTGAGGCTGCCGGTGCGGCGAATGGAGGCTTTCTTGCGGAGGGTGTTGTTCCTGCTGGGGAAGTTGTTGTCGTCACCGGCAGCATAGCTGCTGATGGAGGCGGTGCGCTGCATGGCGAGCTTGTTGTTTGGGCGATGACCGTCTACGATGGAGCTGCCGCGTTGGCTGGCGTCCCACTCTTCGGTAAAGCGGCCAGAGGGCTGTTGAAAGTGGTGGCGAGGGTCGGGAGGACTTGTGCCGTAGTCAAGAGGAGCAGGATGGGAGGCGTACTCGAAGTAGCTGGTGGGCGGGTGGTGGTTGTGAAGCTGGTGTTGAGGATCGTGGACGGCGAGCGAGCTGGGTTCTGTGGGATGATGTAACTGACGAGGGACGTCAGCGTCCATGGCGGAGATGACGGCAGTATTATTAAGCTAAAAGAGAAAATAAAGGTGTGAGTGAGCTGGCGCAGTGCTGTAGGTTCATGCGGCCGTGCGTAGCAGTACTTGGCTTGGGGTGGTGGCAGTAGCGGTTTCGGCAGAGTCCAAACCGCCGGTGCCAATTGGGGAGCGGGAACGGAGGTCAAGGCCAGTCGGTAGAAGCGAAGGTTTGGAGAAGAAGGACGGAGAGGAAGGGATCCGCCGTGTTGGTTGGGAGGCAGCGGCACGGAGGTTGCAGGGTGGCGATGCGATGATGGCGAGGCGATGGGGAGGGACTTGGAGGGAGTGAGATGGGTGGTTCCTGGAGGAGAGCAAGGGTGGAGAAGCGCGTCGAACTACTGACTCTAGCGGGACTGATGAGGTATCCAGTGGCCACTTAGGTCGGTGGTGGTGGGATACGGTCCATGGTTTGATTCAGGAAGAATCAAGGCAGCCAGGAGATGGCGGGGAAGGTTGCCTTTGACGCAATGATTATCGTGGATGCTGAGCCTGTGCAACCTGGGTGTTTGACTGTTGGTAGCAGTAGTTTACCTACCTAGGTACTAAGTTGGGGGGCTACAAACTGCGAGGAGCAAGCTCGGCTGCTTGCGAGTGGCTGCGACTGGCAACTGCCATGGCAACAGTGAGGCACCGGTTTTTACAGGGGCATTGGAAGCGCTAACGCAAGTACCTACTAACAGGTACTAAGGTAGGTACATAGGTAGGTACCTACCGTAGGTACCCTGCTGTAATCTGGCCATTGCTGGTCTTGAGTGCTGCTGCGTCAGGTCCCGCAACCGCCAAGTCGGGCCTCCAACAACCCCTGCTGAGTTGCACAGCCTGCCTGGAATCGTCTTGGTCTTTTGATCACCATTTGGTGCTCGGTGCCCAAGCTTACTGGTACCCAAATTGGCCATCTCGCTGCTTCATACAAACGCCTGCATTGCATACAAAAAGCATTAGTGATTCCTACCTGTTGTAGAAAAAACCCTAGATAAATTGAGATCCTCATGACACCAGAATATCCTCGGCTTCCGCTTTCATCGCTAGATAAACTTTTCAGCGCGCGCACAACCTGGTGCTGCAAAATGACGTATTTATGGGGCCCTTTGTGGCTTGGGCTGCCGTGGCGTTTCCATCGTTTCCATCCACGGCTTACCCACAACGCCCCGCCCAGCCGATTAACCGCTGCCAAAAGCGGACTTTGCCTGAGCGAAGCCACCAACGACGAATAGTTATCTCGCCATCCATCTACCACGCACTTGAACACATATTGTCTCGTTGCCGGCTTGGCACCGTCAACCATGATATCTGAGCAGCGAAGCCAGTAGCCGCGATGGTTGCATGGACCGCAAACAATGGCAGGCCACCGGCAACCTTGATGCCGCTCACGGTACAAATAGTGTTGCATCGCACATCGCAGTAGCGTGACAGGAGTTCACACGACATGGCCAAGAATCTCCTGGTGCTGTGTTTGCCCGAGTCCAAGTTGACGTTTTGCAACGAGATCGGAGTTGCCGGATCCAATCCATCGCTCTATGATCCGCCACAAGTTATTGCCCATTTCTTCGACTCGTTGCAAAATTTGGGGGCAAACAGCAATTATATCCAAAAAAAAAAAAGGGGGGGGGGGGAGCCGCTTTCACTTTACCAATCTTGACAAACCTCGTTTATAATTTACGGAACAAGCCCTGAGAGATAGATATAGATACCAAGGTGACGGAACTCAAACTCCATCTCTGTACCCCGCTCAAGCTACGTTATTAGCCCGCCAGCTCTCGCACATCTCCGAAGAAGAGACAGAAAAAAACATGCACCATCAACTGCTCCAGGGCTGCCAAGACCGGCTAATTAAGTTACTGCCCACGCCTGTCCCTTGGATGACGTCGTCGCAACCACGTGCCCCAACAGGGTTTGGGCGGCTATCAAGACACATCAATCCATCCATTGCGGCGTTCGTAGTCAGATAGGTTGCCCAGCTAGAGGCCCATCGTAGAAGCTAATCATTTTTTACTCAAGCTTCTAAATATCAAGTAGCTTCTCCTCTTCCGAGTCCTTCTGCCAAAAGTGGCTTAGTCACCAGTATCGCAGGTCATCCCGATGCCAAAATCACAGACGTCCGTTCCTGCAATTTACATCCCGCACGCAATGACAGCTATTTCACAGTCGCATCAGGCGCCAAATACAATTTTCGACTGTACTATAATTATCAGAATGCGCACTAGGGACTATTACCTATCATCTTTTGTAGATTCCGGCCGCTTACCAGTCTACAACAACCCCTAGCAAAAGCTCTCTTCAAGCTCAGCTACTCAACTCTTGACCTAACATACTGCTGGACGCACCACTTTATAATTACACAATAGCCATGCGCTGCATACATTCACCAACTCACATGGCACTTCAAACGTACCCAACAGCCCCTTTCCCAAACCTCTCGCCTCTCGCGGGCCCAGATCTGGCACGATGATCGGCTCCGCAAACTGCACATTTCCTCGCCACATGCCACTCGCTGTCCGCACAAAAGGCACCTTTTTGGTATCTGCACAGATGCCCGGCTTTCGCGGCGGCACGTACACCATGTGGAACACCTCCAAATCATCGCCGTCGCAGTCCTTGATATCAATGAGCATGTGCACCCCTGCAACGGCCAGCGTGCGGCATGCCGTCACAAACGGAAACATTTGGCGCGACAGTTCAAGCTCGAAGCTGCGTTTCTTGTGGCGGCGCTGATTGTAATGGTATGTGGAATTGCGTTCCGCTTGTCGCTCACCAGGATTGTTGCAGTGCTCCTCGTCATCATCGCACGCCCCTGACCGGCAGCGCTGCTCCCAAAGGCAGGTCTCGCACTTTCCACTGCGTCGAAGCACCGACCAAGCTTCCTGCATCTCGTGTCTCATGTCAAAGAATCGCAGCCCGTCCGCTGGCAGGTGTTTCTGCGCAAGGTCCTGACGCTGCCGCCGGAACTCGGGACCGCCCTCTCTTGCAGTAAAGCTCATGTGAAGAATGACGTCGCTCACGCTAGCAAAATCAAAGCGGTTATTTTCCTGAGGCAGCTCAAGACGCCACCGCGATACGGCACCTGAGTACTCGAACGGAAGGTAGCGTGCGTCCCCAAAGTTCACTTCAAAGAGACCAGAGTCGTTTTGTCCCGTCGACGTCGCAATGGCTTCCGTCCCAGCATAGCGCGTCGCCACGCAAGGATCATGGATGCAAGCTCCTGGCGGCTTCTCAGCCTTTTTCTTGTCAGCGCAGCAGCAGTCGCCGCACGTCTCCATCTGCGGACTCTGACGGATCGAGCTGTGTAGTTGCTGTAGCTTGCAATGAATACCCGTGTACGGTCCGGCCACGCACGGAATAGTCAAGGAAACCGTTTTGATGCGACGCATATAATGTCCAGGATAGTCGAGGTCAAACAACCACTCTGGAATATCCATCTCGCAGTAGCCGGCTGATTTGAGCATTACGAAGCTAGCCGGGAAGTGCAGCCGCAGCGAGATATGCTTTGCCAACTCGTACTCGCGGCAGTTCTTATTCATATACGCCCTGTCCAGTGATTGAACCGCCACCTCGAGCTTCTCGCCCGCTAGCAACCCTGAATGGAGACTGTCCCAGACGGCCGCCGACGAGGGAATCATGTCCAGTGTCGAATCACCGAGCTCGTACGCCGCGGCTTGCTGTGCTTCCTTGGCCACCTCTACGGCCGCAGAAAAGGTCTTGCGGTAGAGTGCGGCATTCTCTTGCTGCAGATACAGGTACAGCTCGTACTTGGAAAACTTGTCGCGCAAAAAGTCTCGCACTTCGGCCTGGTGCTCGATGTTTCTCTCCGTATTGTTCAGCTCCCTACGCGACACCTCCAGCCGACGCCGGGCGGCAAGACGCTGACGTTTGATCTGCTGAATCTCGTACGTAATCACGTCGCACTGGTGCTGCCACTCTTGCAGGCGTCTGTCCCAGCTGCCCTGTGTATTCTGCATTCCGGCGTTGGAGGTGGATATGTCGGCCACCGTATTGAGGATGCGAGCCGCGGCGGCGAAGCCGGTGCCCATCTTGACGCCCATGGGCATCTGCTGGAACTGCAACGGGCTCCCGGCAACGCCAGCCACTCCAACCCACATGTCGGGAACGCTGGCCATGCCTTGACCGATGCCGTCCGAGACGTTGGCACTGGTTCGGCTAGCCATGGACGCTTCTGTGCCGAACAAGTAGCCCATTTCGTTAAAGTTGAGCCCGTCGGCAATCAGCTTTTGGTAATACTGTAGCCTGGTCAGCGCCCCTTGCATCTGCTTGTCCAGCGCTTGGACATCCCAGTCTGCAGCCCGGTATTGGTTTTTGGCAATGTCAAGGCCGAGCTCTGTCATTTGGCGCTCCTGGGAAGTCCTGATCGAAGAGAGCGCTTCAGAATCCGCCTTTTCAATGGCAGAGAGCAGGGCAGAACCGGTGGCTTTCACAATAGCGGTCCACTGATATACCTTTGGCAAGATGGAGCTATACCGATACGCCTGCGAGCAGGAGTAGTCGCATAGTCCGTCACAGCCGCCACCCCCCGCCGTGCCTATATCGAATCGTCTGTGAGAACCCCATGTTGCGCGATCCCGTACAAGCGCCCCGTTGCGAAGCCGGCGGTTGTTGATGCCGGCACGAACCATGCTGAGACCCTCATCGACGGCGTCAAAGAGGCGTAGAAGCCTGGGGTTCAGAGCAGGCTCCGAGCTTTGGAACGTGGCGAGAGTCATCTTGCCTCGTGTTAGATCGACGGCGGCGATATTCTTTGGCTTCTTGCCCAGAATCTTGGCCGCTACGCTGAGCAGGGTGTCGGCTTGCTGGTCTGCCTCTAGCGAGTTGAGACAGCGAACGCTGCTGGCCCAGGCGAGTAATGTCTCGACGTACTCCATTGTCACCGCTCGCCCTATAGCTTTGGCGCGCCGGACCGGGCCGGTGGGACAACACGTACTGTCTTGCCGAAACCCTTCTTGCTCGGCGCTGGCAGCAATCTCTCCTTCCTCTTCGGCTTGGAGAAACTTGCCAAGTACAGCCGCACTGGAAAACAGGTCCGTGGATTTTGAATCGTCTACTTCCAACGAAATTTCTTCCAGAGCGCTGCTGCTACTCTCCGACGCGCAATTCATCCACGCATTTTCCCTGGACAAAGGATCGTACACTAGTTTCAGCCAGTGTGTCGAGGCTTGGTACTGGCAGTCTGTTCGTAATGACGATGCAATGACCATGCTGGTGCCGAATGTGCTCACTGGCACCAGTGGCGCTCCCTCGTTGAAATATAGAAAATATGGGAAAGCTGCCAAGTCGTCGATGAGTGGCTGCGAGATAGGCAACGCAGGCGGTGGGGAGCTCGGGACCGGCTCGGGAATGGGGATTGCGGTATCAGTGGCAATGTCGAAACGGAAGCCGGTACTTGTGTCGTTTTTAATGACGTTAAAGAGCAGCGAGTCAAAGTACCGCCCGCGGATATCCAAAAACAGAGTGTCGAGGTCGGCATCGACAAGAGGAATCCCGTCCGTTGAGCGCCGAGAGTCTTGCAAGACGCCTCTGTGCACCTTCATCCAACGTAAATGGACAAGCGGCTCCGACTGCCAGTGCAGCATCTTGGCTGTAGGCGTATCCCAATCTGACGTCGGGTCCGCTTGGATGGTGCGCGGATCAATCTGCGGGCTGCCGCCTGTTGAACTGCGCACACCGGGCACGTTATCGTGCAGGTCTGCATTCTGGGAGGCGGCAATGTCGGCTGGGTCGAACCGGAGATTGTCTTCGAGCCAAAAATAATACTCATCAATGGTGGGCTCATGACGATGTCCACAGTCGCAGCAAACGAGAGGCTGTTCTGTTCTCCGCTCATACGGTAGAGCATTGGGGGGACCTGAAGCTGCTACACGAATAAACCGGACTCCAAGACGAAGAGCTGCTTCCACCCAGAGAGGGATAGACTCAAGTGACGAGGAACCAGGAAGAGAACTTTCCAGTGAGATGGGTGTGATGACTGTTGTGCTTTGTTCGCCTTCGCCGTCTCCAGTGTGAGCGACAACGTCTGAGTGCTCTGAAGCTGAGTTTGAATCTGGAGCTTCAAGCAGGGCCTCTGTAGAGCCACGGCCTGGTTTGAGGGGCGCGGCGGCATTGATGGGCTGCACCGGAGCCAACCATGTTGGCATACCACTTCGATCTGGCTGGCCCATTAAGCTCAACCCTCCATCTAGAGCCTGACGCTGAACTCCCAGGGTGAACGCCTGCACCGAAGTCAGAGACTCCCTACCTGGCTGGGAAGGAAGAGCGCCTGTTCCGCCCCAATTCATGTTTTGGGCCAAGGTGGCCACAGTGGAGATGCCAGACTGGAGCGCCTTGTCGAGGGATTTGTAGCCTTCACTTTTGGACAGCTTCTTCGTTTCATCCCATTTCAGCCAGTTTTCAGAGTACCAGGTGCGTCTCTGATGTGCCTGCCATTTCTCAAAGGTTGAAAACTCGCAGTCCCATAGTTTGAGAGTCTTGGAGTCGATGGGAAGCTCGGCTTCGAGTCCGAGAAGAGCCCTATGCACAAGACGCTGTGCCGCAGCAACAAGGTCATTGACACGGGTGGTTGTTTCACGAATATCGACTGCGACATCCAGCAATAGATGATCTGACACTTGCTCCGCTGAGTATCCATTGGAGCGGAGAGATTGGAGGAGGGCATGGCGGGCTCGAAGACGAAGGTTGTCACTCAGCCCGACGACCTGCCGCAGACGTATCTCGGCGTCCGTCTTGCTCAAGCAGCATCTCTGAACAAAACGAGTGAGGTTCACGTTACCAGCGACCCCGTCAACAGGTGCATTCGGGTCCGGGCTGGCAGACCAAAGAGCCGGCCGGCACAGTGCTAGTTCCGTAATGGGGGCGTAGAATGAGCGCATGACGTGAACGAGCCACCTGTTTGCTTTCCACACGCGCGTAGCCCACCTCTCATCACCCAGGACACTGAGATTCTGCGCGTCGGTGATTTTGAACAGCCCATCAGGGGGCGGCGCAAAATACTCGAGCACCAGCGGCGTGAGCATAATCTCGACGCCCAGGTATCGGAGCAGTTGGTCGACGGGCTGCGGCGAGTCAAACGTGACGTGGTGGAAAAACACCCAGAGCGCCGGCTCACATAGGCTTCGCACCTCGCGGCGGAGCGCGGTGTAGTCGAAAATTCTCTCGAACCAGTCAAAGAGGGCCGTCTGCCGCTTCTTGCTCGGCTGCACGCGCAGGTCCGTGTCCGCACTGGGTGGAAAGTAGGCATCCGTGACGGGGAGCGAGTTGAAGTCAAAGTCTGCGTGATGCGCTTTGTAAACGTTCGTCGCAGCGTCCCAGTAGTAAGACGTGCCCTGGAAACTCGTCGGGTTACTGAGCAGGTAGCCCAGCTCCGACTCATCCTCGCAGTGGGAGTGGCACGCGGACAGGCAGAACCGGCTCGCGAAGAGCACGGATTTGAAGGCGCGCTGGTATGTCCTGCGGATGTCTCGCAGGGTAGGGATGTACCTGGCGTTGATGACCCGCGTGCTGCCAGCCATGAGGGTGTATTGCATGATGTTGTGTTGCGGCCAGAGAGGGCCATCTTTGCACCGGATGTAGAGCGCAGACACGGGCACCTGTTGCAGGTAATGGTGCGTGTCTGGGCCCTCGAAAGACACTCTGACGCCCGTGTGTGACTTTTTCAGGTCGTCGTCGTCGTCAAAGTCGGGCTCGGGCTGCTTGTAGACAATAGTGAGCTGGTAGGCGCCAGGGCGCAGGGGAACCTGCTTAGAGTAGGTTTCTGGAATTTCGTTGGAGTTTGAGCCTCGGCTGAGGAGGGTCCAGGTCTTATTGCCGCGACGGAGGGTCATGGTCCACTCCTTTTTGCTCTCGCAGTCGCAGTGACAGAAGCGGTGGTCATGGTGGGAGTCGTGCGTGTGATGGCCCCCGAGTTCTTCATCTTCATGAAAACTTGACTGACGGTTAGAGTATTCATGGTGAGCGTTGCACGAAATGGCGAAGTGGTAGCAGCCGCCCTTTTCTACTATGAGTTCACCTTTCCACACCACAGAAAACGGCTCACCACCCGACAGGACGCGGCCAGTTTCTTGATCCAGGGCAAACCCGTTCTTGAACGAAACGAGGGACGACTGCGTGTCCGACTGTTTCAATGTCAACTCTGGCAGGACGGTGGCGATGGGAGTGTTCCAATCGTTGCACGCGTCACCCCACGCAGAAAGGCCACCACGGAGCTCCTTCCAGACAATGTGCGGATCGGCACCGACATAGTCACCTGCAATGCCAGTGCCTATGAGGCCGAGAAGAGCGGCGAAAGCGCCTCCGGAGAACTTGGGGCCCCATTGAAACTCTGCTGGGGGTGCGCCCGAGTCAATAGGATCCTCCCAAGGAGAAGAGGCTTTGTTTTCGTCGGCGATGAGACTCAACAGGACGCGCCAGGCGGTCTTGCTACCAATGCATTCGTGGTCGTGCTCGGCGGCGCATGCGCATTCCGCGGCATCGGATTGCGAAGCGGAATGCACGGCGTGGTGGAGATGCCGGGAAATGACTCTGCAGCGCTTGTAAAATGCGGCAACCTCTTTCTGAAAAAATGCGAACCTCTTTCTGACGCAGGGTTCTTGGACCATGTAGTCGGCAGCGTCGTTGAAGTTGGTGAACAGGAGCGCAAACGGAGCCAGCGCGGCGCGGGTCTGCCAGTAGAGCGTCTGCACCGCAGACGCCTCCTGGGTGTTAAGTTGCCGTGTGTCTCGCAGGAACCGGAGCACATCCTCGCCTCGCAGCGGCAGCTTGACGCGCAGCGTGGCTGACGCCTCTTCGTCCCCCGCTGGCGGCGCCTGGTACGAAAACGGCGAGCAGTGAGACTGCCAAAGCTTGGGCGACGAGTCGCGGATGGTCGTCGTAAAGTAACGGCTCTTGTGCGACACGTCACAGCCGCACTCTTGAAGGATGTCGGGGAAGAAGTGCTCGGCGAGGAATTGCAGCGAAAACAGCTCGTCGTGGGGACGGTAGCCGAGGTCTGCCAGTGTCGCCTCGATCTTGGGCCAGGACCAGCGCTCGGCATCGTCGTCGCAGACTTGTACCTGGAGAAGCTTGCGCCGTAGAGCCCAGAGACCATGCTTCTCGTCGTCTTCGGGAACATTGAGGGGATCATCGAGAGACTCGTCCTTTTCGGTGAGCGGAAAGGGGTCGTCGTCACGCAGGTGCTTTCGCGGGGTGAATAAGAAGAGGATTTCCCCGACGGTGAAGCGCGAGGCGTACAGTTTTGTCAGGATCTCGACGAAACGGATGGTGCATGTCGGCGTGGCGTACCACTTGGTCTCGATGAACCCGGCCAGCTCAGCCAAGGCGTCGAGATGGCTGGCGTTGATCTTGTTCCAGGAAGCAGAGCGCTTTTCGCACTTGTAGTGATGGATGGCGTGCTTTTCAATGCCTGCGATGAGGGATCTCACGGACCATTGGAAGCCGTCTGTCTTGGTGCCTTTCATAGACCAGAGGGACAGAATCTTGATTCTCTCATCCGGTTGCTCAGTCTGCTCGGAGGCAGATTCTGTGTCAGCCAAGGGCAAGCACCAGAGCTGAACCAGCATGAGAAACGAGGCCAGCTGTCGCAGAAACTCTGGGTTCACGTTTGTTTCGGTAAACAGTTTGAGGACCTTGCATATGTCTGCGAGGACCTTCATTGTGATCGATGGCCCGCGGCCGCGTCGGAGACTTTTCCAAAGGCGGGCAAAGATGAGGAGCTTGAGTAGCCCGCCTGCCTGGGAACGTTCCGTGGGGAACGAGAGGACAAGGTCGTCGTCGCAGCACGGTAGGCATTCTGGATACTCGGGGTACGCCTCCCCAGGACCGAACTCAACGAAGCCGCTCTTGTGCAATTCAAGGAACTCGCAGTATGTTATACCGGCCTGAGAAATAAAGGCCGATACTTGAACAGGGACGGCGTGGGAGGTGTCCTTGTTGCCGCGCAGCACCGTACCGAGGAGCTCCACGGCTGTGGCACTCGTCATTTTGCCCTGATACACAAATGCAGCTTCTTCCCACGAAATGCCGAGGTACTCGAGCGCGATATCATACCGAACAGGAAGACGCCATGTCGACTTTTGAAACGCCTCTGGCTCTTTGGACGCATCGAGCGCGAACTCGGTGATGTCGCGATGAAAAACGCGCATGAGTTCAAAGCGTGAGGTTCCCACAGCGCCCAGGTACTGGCGGGATATATCCAAGCCCTGCGAATAAGGAAGATCCGGTCCAGCCAACGAGGAGGCGAGTGTGGCATACACACTGGGCTGGTCCTGGGGAAGATGGGGCGACGAGTGCTGCGGGAGCGCCTTGAGAATATCATCTTCGCCGAGGTCTGTTGGGACGATGAGCGGCGTGGTTCCTTGCACGTCAATGCTCGCAAGACCGGCATTGGTCGTGTTGTAAAGCGCGCCAGAATTCGCTGCCAAGTCGGACACCAAGGACTCTAGATTCTCATTGACGATATCAACGGAGGGGAGATGGGTGCCCAGGTTACTGGCAGTCACATGGAGGGTTGACAATGGCCCCCGTCGCGTGGCCAAAACATCGCCGACGGTTTGCGTGCCCGAGGGCAGTTCGAGGAGCTGCTTCAGGTAATGGAAAGGGCCAAAAGGCGACAAGTGGCATGGAGGCTCGCAATTCACCAGGTCCCCTGGATTGACTGCGCTGAATGTATATCCTGGTTCTGGGTCGGGGCGTCCTGTTTCTGAAGGCAGCGCGTCCGCCTTGGTGAAGATCTCTCCGGCACGGGGAAACGCGACCGTACCGGCCATGGCGAGCGGAAACTGGGAGGAGCCGACCAGCTTCACCCTTTCCGCGCTCGTGAAGCCTCGCGCATGCAGAGCTTCCATGTACGAGAAGCGTAGTTCCTTGCTGAGACCAACCAGGTCTGTCATGCGATACAGCGTCCACAGCGTCTTGAGGGCGAGCGTGACAAACAAGGCGATTCCCTTGTCTTTGAAGATTTGCAGGGCCTGCGCCTCGTACTGCGCAAGTGCGGTGGCGTCCAGATCGGACCCGAGGCGGAAGTCGGTCTGGTTCAGGAAATTCACCAGGACGTCTTTGCCGAGCGTGCCGGTCCATGTTGGCACAGCCTGCGGGGGTGGCAAGTCGCCGAGTGACTGCGGCGCGGGCGACGTGAATAAGACCTTGTTGACGTCCTGGACGAACGTATGTACGCGGTCTTTTAGGTCGCCCAGGAGGTAGCGCCTGGGCAAGAGACCATCGTGGCGCTGGAAAAACTCGAACCACTGCGCTTCGGTCACGCTGGAGAGGTCTGTGACGGTTTGAATCACTACGCCGAGGCCAGCTCCGGACGCTGGTGGAAGGCGCAAGTCTGTCAATATTGCTGTAATCAAAGCCTCCTCTCCTGGTGCGATGACTTCCAGGATGACGGTGAGGTAGTCTTTTGCCTTGGCGGGCGGATACCACACTTTTTCAGGCAAATCCTGGTCAGCGCCGGGGAACTGGAGCCAGTCGGCCACCAGGGCCTTGACACTCGCATTGGCAGCCGGCTGCACCTGTTCCGGGAGCGCGTTCCGGACAGAGGCCTGCAGGGCGACGATGCGCCGGACCGCCTGCCGCTGGTTGATATCGGCCGCTGGCACGGCCTTTAGCGAGGTGGCGCACCGGATCAGCCCGTCGAGCGTTGATATCGGGCCCAAGACGCCCTGATCAATGGCGGAACCGAGCGAGTTGGTGAGGATGTCGCTCGAGGTGGTGAGTAGAATTTTGAGGCGGGTGTCAAAGTCTTGCGAGATGGCGTGGGTGAGGGTGAGGGCGTAGAAGTAGGCGGCGGGCACGGTGAAGCTGGGATCGAGGGCGGCGCCGCTTGTGCCGGAGACGGGCATGGACGGGACCGACACCGAGGTGGAATGCTGCGCACTGGACTGGACGGGCACGTTGATGACGGCCCGGGTCGCGGCAAAACTGTAGAATTCCGCGTAGACGGCGAAAATGGCCGAGTAGACGTAGTTGGCGAGCCGGATGCCGTCTGAGGTGCGCAGAGCGTAGTATGAAGCGCGGTCGCCCTCGAACTTGGTACGCGACTGGTCCGTCTCTTGGGGGAGGATTTTTCCGCCCGCTGCGGCAAGAGTAAACATGTCTTCAAAGAAGACGGTATCGGTCTTTACCTTGTAGATATCCTTGTCCCACGAGGGATACGGCGCAGAGGGCGGCGGGTCGAGCAGCCGGTTATTGACCAGCTCTGCAGCGACCTGTCGTGCTTGCGCTGGTGATAGATAGACCTTGATATCTTCCAGCGAGGGGGCCCCGACGGGAGAGTCTTTGCCGAGAACATTGTCGATGGCTTTGACCATGTAAGCGAAGCTGGGGGGCGTGCCATCTGCTGCTGGCGAGTAGAGTGTGGTCCCCGGGTCGAGCGCAACCTGGGGAACGTCAATGGACAAGTACACGGCCGCCTCTCTCGCGATGTAGGATGTTTGTTCCGGCACGAGGTGCTCGTTGGCGACTTGCACGTTGAAGTCGACAACTTGCTGGCGACTGGAGACGGTGGGCTGCGGCGAGTCCTGCGTCAAGGTCAGGCGGACGTCGTAGGACGTCGGCGTGGGATACTCCTTGGTGGGCTGCTCTAGGCCAGCCCTGTTGATAACGATGACGGCTGTGGCGACTGAGGACGTGCCAAGCACGGTGCCCTTGATGGAGAAGTGCTGGATGATGCTGGGTTGAAGCGTGGGCGGGTCGCCGGGGACCACGGATAGCGGCGGGATGGGGGTCAGGGCATCGACCGGTTGGTCGGCCAGACCGGTCGCTTTTCCGAGCTCGCGATCATGGCCGGTGCTGAAGACGGTCCTGTCTGAGGCGGTGATGGTGATTTGGTTGAGAGCGGCCCGGAAGGCCGAGGCTGTGACGGGGTGCGTGGGGACGATGCGCACAATAAGGAATTCTGATTTTGTCATTTTGGATGATGAAAGATTCTGGGCCGATGTAATAGTACAGAGAGAGAGGCAAACAAGATGAAAATATCGGTTGAGGGGGAGACGAGCATGACCCTAAATGCTGCCATGATGAATGTGAGACGTTGACGGAGAGCACACGCCGCGAGCAGCAAGCTGGTAGCCGCATTGGGAGCTGCGCCATGAAACAGAAAAACAGCCATGGAGAAAAAGTAAGTTTTGGAAATGGCTGGCAGCTGAAAGCTCTGATGATTTTCAGCCTTGGGAGGCGCATCGAGGGATGAGGCTGAAGAGGGTTAGTCGCGACGTTGTAGAGTAGCCAGGGCTCGCAATAGCGCGGCGCGCCCATCATCAGCCCTCGAATAACGTTTAAATAAAGTTACTAGAAATCGATGGGGGGCCGTACCGGCCCCGTTCTAGGCCGGGCAAGCGGGATGGCAACTGCCGGTCTGGCTTGGCGGTTGAGTGCCACCATTCCTAGCTGAGAAGCCTCGATGGGACAGCTGACTCCCTTGGTGAGACTACTGAACCAGCCACATGGGAAGAGGCGTGACTTCAGCTCGGAAACTAATCTGGTTGCATATTTCGAGGGTGATGGTCCGTGCCAATAATTCTGAAGGTGATGGACCGTGGTTGCTGATTGTGTTGCGACTTGTTTTTAAGCTTTATTCAATTGATGCGACAACAAACGAGCTTCATGAGCAAACGAGCTTCGCGAGCAAACGAGCTGCATTATTACCAAACCTGCTTCGTTCCATTACCGCCATCAATTACCACCATCAATTGCCACCATCAATTCACACAAGATGAACCCCTCTACTCCAGAACAAGACGACGGCCGCAATCCCCTTCCACCAAGCTCCACCAACGGCCGTGATGCCGGACAAAGCAGCCCTCCAGCCAGCACCGCCGAGCCGTCGAGTCCCTTTTCCTTTCCCTCCGTGCAGCTACCCAAAGGAGGCGGCGCCATCAAAGGCATCGGCGAGAAATTCTCCGTGAGCCCAGCGACCGGCACCGGCAATTTCTCCGTGCCCATCAAGACGAGCACCGGCCGCCCGGGCGGCTCCGTCGCCCTCAGTCTGTCGTACAACTCGGGCGCCGGCAACGGGAGCTTCGGCCTCGGCTGGCAGCTGTCCAGCCAGTCTATTGTGCGGAAAACAGACAAGGGACTGCCACGGTATCGGGACGAGGACGAGGGCGAGGACGCGGCCGATGTGTTTATGCTGTCGGGGGCCGAGGACCTCGTGCCCTGGCTGGACGTGCGCCCGGACGGCACCGTGTGCCGAACCGAGACACGTCGCGACGGGGGCAGGGTACTAGTCACCCGATACCGCCCCCGAGTGGACAACGGGGCGGTCAGGATAGTGAGAGTGTCCGACAGAGACACGGGCGAGAGCCACTGGGAGGTCAAGACGGGCGGCAATCTGACGACAATCTACGGCGACGGCGACGAGAGCCGCGTGTCTGACCCGCGGCGGCCAGGGCGCGTGTTTGAATGGCTGCCCTCGCGGTCCTATGACGACAAGGGAAACGAGACTTTGTATCAGTACAAGCGTGAGGACTCGTGTGGTGTTGACACGGCCAGCCTGTCCGAGCAGCACAGATCGGCACGGGAGCGCTCGGCGGCGCGGTACATTAAGCGCATCAAATACGGAAACACCGTGTCCAGCTTGAGCCCAGCGTTTACAAGAAACAACAACTGGCTGTTTGAAGTCGTGTTTGACTATGGCGAGCACGACCGTCTGTGTCCATCCGTGGAGGAGTGCACGCCGTGGCTGGCACGGCCGGATCCCTTTTCCACGCGGCGCCCGGGGTTCGAGGTGCGGACGCATCGCCTGGTTCAGCGGGTGCTCATGTTTCACCATTTCCCCGACGAGGCCGGCGTCGGACGGGACTGTCTTGTCGAGTCCTTCAACCTCGCGTACGATGCCGTCGGCCAGGATCCGTCCACCGGCCTGGCTGTGGCGTCCATGGTCACGTCAGTGACGCAGCAAAGCTGGCAGAGATGCGGTGACGCGTACAGGACCCAGTGCATGCCGCCGCTCGAGTTTCGCTACTCGGCCGCGCGGCCGGCCAAACAGTCGCGCGCGCTCAAGTCGGCGGCGCTGGCGAACCTGCCGGCGGGATTCGGCGGCGACTACCAGGTTGTCGACTTGCAGGGGCAGGGACTGCCTGGTGTTGTGCTGTCTGTCGACGGGAACTTGCTGTACGTGGCGAATCTCGGGAACGGACAGTTTGGTCCCGCGGAAGCCCTGCCGTCTTCGCCCGGTGCTGGTCGTCCGGGTGGTGAGCGACAATGGATGGATCTGGACGGTGGTGGAAAGATGGACCTTGTCCAGATGAGTGCACCAGATCCGGGGTTCTATAAGCGAAATCTGGATGAGGATTCCGGATGGGACACGTTTCGAACGTTTGCGTCATTCCCCAATCTCAATATGAGAGACGATAACCTCAAGTTTATCGACGTGACTGGAGACGGCATTGCCGACATTGTCATTATCGATGATACTGAATTGCGGTTTTATTCCGGGCTTGGTGACGTGGGATTCGGCACACCGTCATACACGTCATCGCCACTCGACGACGGGACTCTTGGCACCGGCCGTCTCTTGTTCTGGGACGGCACCGAGGCGCTCTACACGTCTGATATGACGGGCGACGGCCTGGCGGACCTCGTCCGGGTTCGCAACTCGGAAATATGCTACTGGCCGAATCTGGGGTACGGCAATTTCGGGTCCAGGGTAGCCATGGCGAACCCTCCGGTCCTTGATACGCCCGACCTGTTTAACCAAAAGTATATTATCCTCAGCGACGTGGACGGCTCGGGAACAATAGATGTTGTCTATCTTGGAAGCGACGTGCCCATGATCTACCACAATCTCTCTGGCAATGGCTGGAGCGACGGCACCCCCATCACTGGCTTTCCCGGCGTCAACTCGGCAACGAATGTGCAAGTGTCCGACCTGCTCGGTCGGGGAACTGGCTGTCTCGTCTGGTCGTCTGGTCTTCCCTCGGATGCGGGTCGTCAGATCAGATACCTTGACCTCATGGAGGCCGGCAAGCCGCATCTCCTGGTGGGCGTGGATAACAACCTGGGGTGGGAGACGCGCATTACGTATGAAAGTTCCTGCCAGTTTTATGCAAGAGATTTGAGCGCTGGTCGCCCATGGACTGCACGACTACCGTTTCCGGTACAGTGCGTGCAGAAAGCAGAGCTTGTCGATAGAGTGAGCAAGAGCCTGTTTACTACCAGGTATGCATACCATGACGGCTATTTTGATGGTGCGGAGCGCGAGTTTCGAGGCTTTGGCATTGTTGAGTCTTGGGATACGGAGCTGTACTCGAACCTCCAAGACGGTAACACGTCCAACATCAACAAGCAGTCCAACATGCCCCCCGTCTTGACCAAGACGTGGTACCACACAGGCGAGTATCTCAACGGCCAGCTGGTGACGAGATACGCTGACGTGCCGTACTGGACCGGCGATGACCACATACAGAGCTATGCCTCTCTAGCAGATCCTCTATTGCCTCTCTCCATCACCACACAGCGGCACGATGTTCCGTACACATTGAGCCATCAAGAGAGGCGAGAGGCGTGTCGCGCTCTGCGGGGGCAAATGCTGCGCTCAGAGTCATATACGATGGATGGGACCGCGTTGCAGAGCTTCCCCTATATTGTGCAAGAGGCGAACATCCATCTCGAGCTGCGCCAGCCTGTCGGCCCGAATCTCCATGCTGTCCTGTTTGTGCGCGGTAAGGAGACGCTTGAGCTGGCGTACGACAGAGCGCGCTATCGAGTTGGGTCAAGAATGCAGTTTGATCCGAGAATCTCGCATACCATGGTTTTGGAAACAGACTTTTATGGCAACGAATTGAGCTCCATGGCTATCTCATATGGAAGACGACACGCAGACTCTGATGATCGTCTGACGCACGAGGATAGAGTGGCGCAGATGCGCAGCCATGCCGTCCTGTCAACAGCAACATTCACCAACGCCATTGAGACTGAACAAGCGTACATTCTGCCTCTTGCTGCTCAAGCTCAGAATTATGAAATCATCAACATTGATTCCTGCCGAAACGGCCATCGGGGTGCCAAAGAAGCTGTCACATTAGAGGACGCCTTGCACATCGTCCAACGTCTGGCATCGGGAGCTTTCGACATTCCTTTTGAGAGTCTGACTGGGCCCTATCCTTCAGACACAACCATATATCGACGCTTAATTAAAGAGAGCTGTTCAATATATCGAAAGGATGACCTCAGCGGACCGTTGCCACTTGGCGTGGTAGAGTCGCTGAGTCTACCTTGGCGAAACTTTCAGCTGAGTCTCACAGAACATCAGGCTCTACACTACGTCCGAGCAGGCAAGGTGGAATCACATGAGCTCGAAAATCTTTTGATCAGCAAGTGCAATTATTCTAGAATAGCTGGCAAGTCAGGATGGTGGGCTTCCTCTGGACGAGCCTTCTTTGCTGCGGCGCGAGAGGCAACGCCTGCCCAAGAACTTGACGAGGCCAAGAAGCACTTTTTTACTGTTCGGCGCTCTCGGCCACAGTTTGACAGAGACGATTTCCCTGCCGAAGTGCTGTACGAGTACGACAAGTACGATTTGTTAATTCAACAAGTTCGGGACCCGTATGGGAACACAGTCACGGCAGGCGAGAGAAACATTGACCCGTCGCAGCCTCTTGTCAAGACGGGAAATGACTACCGCCTGCTGGCTCCATTCTTGGTTATGGACTCCAACAGAAACCGCTCAATGGCTCTCTTTAATATCCAGGGAAATATCGTGGCTTCTGCTGCCATGGGTAAGCCGGAAGAGAACCTTGGCGACTCCTTGGATGGTCTGAAGTCTGTGCTCGATGAAGACGAAACCCAGGAATTCTTCAATGATCCCATCAATTTCTCAAACAAGTATCTCTGCCAGGCCACAACGAGGACTATTTATGACTTCTTCTCGTATTATCGGACACGGCACCATGCACAGCCACGACCGAACTGGGTTTCGTCCCTGACCCGAGAGACGCATGAGTCGGATGTACCGGCGGATGGACAGAGTCGAGTCTTTGTCACAGTATCATACTCTGACGGGCTGGGCCGTGACATTCAGATAAAATCGCAATGTGAGCCCGGTCCGCTCACATCGGGCGTGGACGGTACGGTTGCGGATGCTGCCTCAGAGTCCAAGATCCAAAATCGATGGCTCACGAGCTCATGGACCATCTTTAATAATAAAAACAAGCCTGTCCGACAATACGAGCCATTTTTTAGTATGAGCCACGCGTTTCAAGACAAGGCCATCTATGGCGTCTCGTCCATCATGCTGTATGACGCTATCGCGAGGCCCATTGCCGTCATAGCACCAGATCATACCTGGACCAAAGTCAAACATGACCCCTGGGGTACAGAACAATGGGATAAAATGGACACTGTGCTTATTGAGGACCCCTCGACAGACGAGGATGTCGGCGGCTTCTTCAAGCTGCTCGCACGAGCGGACTACATGCCGACATGGTACCAGCAGCGCTGTAATGGCCAACTCGGAACGTTAGAAAAGGATGCAGCGATTCAATCTGCTATTTTCGCTAACACTCCTAGCAGTGTGCGGTTTGACTCTTTAGGAAGGGCGTGTGTCAGCTTTGAGGTGCTCCGAAACCCGCCGCAGCCAGCATCTACCGCTGGAGCAAAGGACCAGGTCTTGAGGCAACCGTCGTTTTTGGATGTACAGGGAATGCCGGCCAAGCTTGAAGATGTACTTGGACGGGAAACTGCCAGGAACTTCTATGCTATTGGGGGATGGATCATTAGTGAGACGCACATGGACAATGGAACAAAGTGGACACTGCCAGACGTCAGCGGCATCCCCATCTTAACGTGGAATGCCCGCGGACAGAGGTTCCGGACCGAGTATGACCGCAAAAGAAGACTTATTGGCTTGTACCTCGGCGAGGGCGACAAGGAATTCCTGGTTGAGACGGCCGCGTACGGTGAAACTCGGCCCGATCTTGACCTCTACAATGCCAATGGTCGAATCGTACTCGCCCATGATCAGAACGGTACCACACGGACGTACAAGTACGACTTCAAAGGAAATCTTGGCGAAAGCACGCGGCAGCTTGCATGCAACTACAAAGACACTCTCGACTGGTCAAGCCCGCAGAGGCCAGCTCTGCAAGAAGAAGAGTTTGTGGAAAGGGTGTCATATGATGCTCTGAGTAAGCCGACGAAAACCACACTTCCAGATGGCACGACAACTTGTTATCAGTACAACGAACGTGGCATGATTCAGAGCGTCAAGACCAAACTCGGGGACTCGGCTGCTGTGGAGGGCGTCATTGAGGACATTGAGTATGATGAAAAGGGGCAGCACAAAGAGATACGACAGGGAAATGGCCTACACACTTTGTTTGACTACGACAAGAAGACGTTTCGTATCCGACGGATTCAAACCATCAGGGTACGGAAAAGAACGTCAAGTGGCTCAAGAAGCCGATCACAGGGCGAAAGCTCAAGTGGAAGTGACGACACGGCCCCTAGAAGGCGACCGTCCGGTCGGAAGCGCAGAGAACATGTACAAGATCTAAACTACGTCTTTGATGCGCTGGGTACCATAACCCACGTCACAGACAAGGCATCGCAGCCCATCTTTTTCCGCAACCACCGGGTCGAGGCCTCGCAGGCGTTCAAGTACGATTCTCTCGCCAGATTGGTCGAAGCCACCGGGAGGGAGCACATTGGGCAGATGCAAATGGCGAGAAATTGGCACACAACCGGTCACGCAGCACCGAGCCCCGACGGACGCGTCGACCACGCGAATGACACCAAGGCCATGGGACGCTACGTAGAAAAGTACGTGTACGACGCGGTCAATAATATCCAGAGCCTGCAGCATGTCAACGTGACAGACGGGCAGTCTTACACGCGGCGCTACCACTACGAGGAGAGGAGCCTGGTGGATTCGACGCAGCGAAACAACCGGCTGAGCTGTACTCGGGTGGGCGATGTGACGGAGACATACCGCTATGAAGGCGCAGACAAAGAGGCTGGCAACATGACGGCGATGCCAGGGCTCCCGTGCATGGCATACGACTATGGCGAGCGGATGGTCCAGTCTGTGCAGACGCAGGGCAGGGGCGGCGAGGTGAGAGAGATGCTCTATTACAGATACGATGCGACGGGGAAGCGGACACGCAAGGTGACGGAGCGGCACACAGCGTCTGGAGAGGTGAGGATGACGAAGGAGACGATTTATATTGGTGGCGCGTTTGAGGTGTTCCGCAAGTACGCAGGGAGCGGGGAGGTGTCCCTCGAGGTGCACAGCCTCCGGATTAGCGAATCCGGGCGCCAGCTGCTCCTCGTCGAAAACCGCACCGTCGGAGGCGATGGCCGGGCACCCGGGCTGGTGTACCGGTACCAGCTCGGCAACTTTCAGGGCTCGGCCGCGGTCGAGGTGGACCAGCACGCCAACATTCTCTCCTACGAGGAGTACACCCCGTACGGCGTGTCCTCGGTGAGCTCCGTGTTCCGACCGACCGAGGTCCCGAAGCGGTACCGGTTCCTGGGGAAAGAGCGCGACGAGACGGGCCTCTACCACCTCGGCCTCCGGTACTACGCCCCGTGGCTCGGCCGGTTTGCGTCCGCGGACCCCAAGGGCGCAGCGGACGGGTCAAACCTATACCAGTACGCGCACGGGAACCCCAACATGCTGGCGGACCCGTCGGGCACCAACGCGAAGCCGCCGCCCGAGTTCGCCGGCTGGGACTTCAAGGACATCATCGCGCGCGCTAACGACCAGATCCACCTGCGCGAGCTCGACGAGCTCAAGGGCGGCGGCGCCATGATCCAGCAGTACCGCGTTGCCGGGCGCGCCGCTGCGGGCGACTTTGCCCAGTTCCTCAAGGGCTCCATCGCCCAGGGCAGCGAACTGTCGGTCAAGTTTGAGACGTACCTTGCCAACGCCAAGACGGGCGGGGTCAAGGGCTCTAGCTACATTGATTTCGTGTTTGCCGAGTGGAAGCTCGCGTACGAGCATAAACTGCTCAACTTTGCTAAGTACTCGGAAGACGGCTCGCTGGTGTTGGACAAGCTCAAGGACGCGTCGACGCGCATAATTGCGCAGCTCAACAAGCACACGCTCAACCTGGCGCAGCTCGGCGACGACTACGGCAAAGTGCGGCTCGCCGTCACGCTCCGCGGCCTTGACGGTGCGACAGAGCAGGGCGTCGCCGACTTCATCGGCGAGATGGGCAACATCATGAAGAAGGCGGGCCAGCTGGAGCCGCTGGTGGAGCGTGTAGACGCCCCCGCGCTGAAGGCCGTGTCGAACAGTCTCAATACGGGCACGCTGGGCATCATCGAGCGCGCGGGCGGCTTCGCCAAGTACGTCGGCACCGGGAGCAGGATCCTCGGGCCGCTCGGCGTGCTGGTCGGCGTTATGTCGATTCCCGCGCAAGCGCACGCGGCGACCGGCACCGGCGGCGGCGCGCAGAAGAGCATAACCAAGAGCGAGCAGGCCCAGGCCGGCATGGACCTGACCGCCAACGTCACGGGCATCGGCGTTTTCGCCGTCGGCGCCAAGGCGTCGGCG